GACCCAGATTATCTAATAGACCCAGATTATCTAATAGACCCAGAGTATCTAATAGACCCAGATTATCTAATAGACCCAGAGTATCTAATAGACCCAGATTATCTAATAGACCCAGAGTATCTAATAGACCCAGATTATCTAATAGACCCAGATTATCTAATAGACCCAGATTATCTAATAGACCCAGATTATCTAATAGACCCAGATTATCTAATAGACCCAGATTATCTAATAGACCCAGAGTATCTAATAGACCCAGATTATCTAATAGACCCAGATTATCTAATAGACCCAGATTATCTAATAGACCCAGATTATCTAATAGACCCAGATTATCTAATAGACCCAGAGTATCTAATAGACCCAGATTATCTAATAGACCCAGATTATCTAATAGACCCAGAGTATCTAATAGACCCAGATTATCTAATAGACCCAGAGTATCTAATAGACCCAGATTATCTAATAGACCCAGAGTATCTAATAGACCCAGATTATCTAATAGACCCAGATTATCTAATAGACCCAGAGTATCTAATAGACCCAGATTATCTAATAGACCCAGAGTATCTAATAGACCCAGAGTATCTAATAGACCCAGATTATCTAATAGACCCAGATTATCTAATAGACCCAGATTATCTAATAGACCCAGATTATCTAATAGACCCAGATTATCTAATAGACCCAGATTATCTAATAGACCCAGAGTATCTAATAGACCCAGATTATCTAATAGACCCAGATTATCTAATAGACCCAGAGTATCTAATAGACCCAGATTATCTAATAGACCCAGATTATCTAATAGACCCAGATTATCTAATAGACCCAGATTATCTAATAGACCCAGATTATCTAATAGACCCAGATTATCTAATAGACCCAGATTATCTAATAGACCCAGAGTATCTAATAGACCCAGAGTATCTAATAGACCCAGAGTATCTAATAGACCCAGATTATCTAATAGACCCAGAGTATCTAATAGACCCAGATTATCTAATAGACCCAGAGTATCTAATAGACCCAGATTATCTAATAGACCCAGAGTATCTAATAGACCCAGAGTATCTAATAGACCCAGATTATCTAATAGACCCAGAGTATCTAATAGACCCAGAGTATCTAATAGACCCAGATTATCTAATAGACCCAGATTATCTAATAGACCCAGAGTATCTAATAGACCCAGATTATCTAATAGACCCAGATTATCTAATAGACCCAGAGTATCTAATAGACCCAGAGTATCTAATAGACCCAGATTATCTAATAGACCCAGATTATCTAATAGACCCAGAGTATCTAATAGACCCAGAGTATCTAATAGACCCAGATTATCTAATAGACCCAGATTATCTAATAGACCCAGAGTATCTAATAGACCCAGATTATCTAATAGACCCAGAGTATCTAATAGACCCAGATTATCTAATAGACCCAGAGTATCTAATAGACCCAGATTATCTAATAGACCCAGATTATCTAATAGACCCAGATTATCTAATAGACCCAGAGTATCTAATAGACCCAGAGTATCTAATAGACCCAGATTATCTAATAGACCCAGAGTATCTAATAGACCCAGATTATCTAATAGACCCAGATTATCTAATAGACCCAGATTATCTGAGCTGCTTCCTGCCTGAAAATCTCTTGAACTGAAGCCGTTTCACTAAAAGAAAACTGCTCCTGGTCTGAAGCATCAGATTCTGCATTGGTTTAAAAAGTGAAGCTTTGCAATAAAATAAATAGAGCTTCAAAGCAGCTAATCACTGAGTGATTTAGATTTTAACATCGCAGAATTTAAATACCCAAAAACTTTATTTGGAAGAAACAATAACAAACACTGTAAAAGTGTCAGAATAGATCTGATTAAAATGATTATTCTTACTCTAGAGTGTCAGGGCGACCATCAATCCAAACCCAGTCACCAGCAATCTTCCGAAGTCCCAACCAGTAGTAGCGATAGTTACTAGAAGCCTGTCTTGAAAGGAATTTCTGAAAATCATAACATGATGATCATCATGAAATAGATTATTTATGACCTGGAGCTGCCAAATTATTGAATCAGGAGCTCACCTGTTCCTCTTCATTATTAACAACAACCAGGTCTGCACCTTTGCTCTGACAGTACTCCCGACTGTCATTCCAAGACCGATTTCTTTCCTCAAACAGATAGCAGGATCCGTTGAATGAGTTCCAATCACGCTGACATGGTTCACATTCTTTAACCAGAAAACAGAAATGATCAAACTGAGAAATAACCAAATTCTCTGGTTTCTCCATTTTCTATAGAACAACATGAACCAAATGATGTCAGAAGTCATCATCAGTTCAGAGTCAGAGCCGTTTAAAGCTTCACAGATCTTCTTTTTAACATAAACTATTTCACTTTCATTACAAAAACTTGTTTTTCTGAATATAGAGATTAAACTTCCTGGAGACGTTGATCATCATGTTTTCATTCTTGGTAAAGTTTTCAAAGTAAACTCCCTGGATTAAATGGTGCAGAGTTATTCCAGTTATGTCTGTGGATATGATGATATGATAGACGCTGTTCATCTTTGACCTCCTCTCTTCCACTTCAGACATTTTATCCTGGCTGCCTTTTATTGTTCTGTTGGTAAATTACTGTTTTATTCATTCAACATTAATCAGGTAAAACATTAAAGCAATTATATTAAATGCTTTAACATTGAACCTACCAACCATAGAATCGGTAAGAACTGTTTCTGTAGTTTATTGACCAGTTGATTCAAACATCAGTGACCATAATAAAAGTCTAGGTTAACTCAACAATCATGGGGGCGGGGGCTGCAGACCAACTTGCTGTAATTACAGTTAAATCTACAAATAATCTGATTAACAAAATAATCCAGTGAATCAAAGTGAAAGCAGTGCTTAAAGCAGGTGATTTGTTGCTCCATTGGTCAAAACAGAAACTGCTCCATTCACCCAGATTTTCTCTCTCTGATTCACTTTTGATGGATGCTAATCTTAATTTAAACATCAATGCTTCATAATTTTGTTTAGTTTATGTTTATTTATAAAAAATTGTGTCTGAATGGTTTAGAATAAAAACAAAAACTTTGACGCTTTCTTACAACTAATTTAGCTACAATTCACTGAACAACAAAGTAATAAGAAAATAAACTTCACTTCATGATCATTTTCAAATAAAATTCTGAAACTATTAAAAATAAAAACTAAGAAACTTTTAAAGGATGGAATCATGAAATGATTATTAATGGAATAATAATACCACAATTTTGGCCAAAACATTCATAGCTGAATAATGAGAAAATGGTTTTAGTTGTTAATGAAAAGTTAATGTGGAAAGATTAGACTGGTGGCATTAAAAAAACCTTAGATTAAACAATCTATATATATATGTATATATATATATATATATATATATATATATATATATATATATATATATATATATATATAGAATTTACAGCTACAATACCAGAGGAGGCCTTTACAACGATTTGCATTCAGGTTTGAATTCAGGTTTTAAGGAGAAATGAGTTCTCCATACTGTGTCACTGCATCCATTCAGTTTGTGTTGGTTGAAAGTTTTAACAATCATTCTATAGATAACTTTTCCAGAAGCTCTGAAGGATGGAAAAGTGATTTGGTGACTCAGAACCCTCATGAAAATCAGCCAAAAGTGAACCCTCATGTTCACTTAACTTGTGCTTCCAGTAGCACAAGAGCTGACCGACAAATCTAACAGAATTTATTCCCAAACAGGCAGCGAGCTTAACAGGATCATCCAGCCAGCTCCACCACCATCCCAAGGCAATAAACTTGCAGTGTGGAGCAGTCTGGGGCAGGTTGTTGCCCCCCAAGTAGGACAATCCACCAAACTCCCAAACAGAACCAGTTCCTGGAGCAGCCAGTGTAGAGACTCAGCCTGCTGCTGTCTCTCCTTCCTCAGCAAAGACCACAGAGGAAATACTCTTATAACAACTGGAAGAAGAGAAGAGCTAAAGTTGCAAGAGCCAATAGAAAGAGAAGCAGATCCAGACCCATGCCACCAAATCTCCAAAGACTGCAGCATGATATACTCCTCCACACCAGATGTGCAGGTCCTGTAAGCAGTCTCTGAATAAACTGAAAACAAAAAGCAGCACCTCTGCTGGCCAGGCGGACGCTGCATTTTCCACCTTTTTCTCTTTAAAAAAAACAGAATACTTTGAGGAATCCAGTGAAGTTTATCCCAAAAACATCTACCAGAAACCTTTGAACATTTGATAAAAGAGAAACTCCAGCCACGCCTCCCTGTAACAGGATGGAAAGCTTCAGTCCTGTCAGCACCCCCCCCCCCCCCACCCCCCAACCCCCACCCCCCCCACCCCTGACCATTCTACACTTAGTTAGCTTTGACTCCACCTGCTGGTCATTTACTGCCATAGATGTTCAGAGCTGAAAGAATCATATACTCACTTCCATTGGGGCAGTACTCGTTTACTGGAAAGGAGTCAAAGGTCAGAATGAAGTGCATTGTCCTGTTGAGGTCCTCCCTCTCTGTCTGTAGCTGCTTAGTTTCCTTCTTTAACGAGGCCGTTATCAGGTTCAAATGTTTGGTCTCATTCCTCAGATCAGCAATCAGTTTTTCCTGTTGATTTATTTTCCAGCCGCCTTTTAATGACAGGAAACAGAAAAACAGTCAATTAGAGGACTGGAGACATAGATGAAAGATCTGTGAGCATCAGTAAACGTTCAGGGTAGATTGGCAGAAACCGTTGGATAATTGATTCAGTCCAGAATAATGGAAGACAGAGAGCAATGATGTCATCCCTAAAGTCAGAACATTCTGTCATGATCATTCACCTTTTTCATTTATTTCATTAATTGTTTATTTGAAAGGGGACAGTGTACATTAATAAACATTAAAACAATGTAAATATACCCGAGTTAGCTAAGGAGTGCTAATTTTCATCACTAGTCCCCCAGCCAGGTATAAAAAAGGCAACCTTAAAAATAAACACAAGTATAAAATCACAAGATAAAATTACAATACCAATTACATAAAAAACATTATGGTTAAGAAATACAATTCATTTAAAATAATTATAAATTATTTAAATAGACACTAAAAACCTTAGTGCTCACAAATGTGGCTCTCTACAAGCCATTTTTTTTGCATTATTTTTCAATGAAGAGAATGACAAAGAGTCTCTGATGGTTTCTGGCACTGTGTTCCATTGCCAGAGATGGCAAAAGTACTCACTTTCCGTACTTGAGTAAAAGTACAGATACTTGTGTTAAAAAATACTCTGGTAAAAGTGGAAGTACTGATTAAACTTCTTTACTCAAGTAAAAGTAACAAAGTACAGGCTTGTAAATTTACTTAAAGTATAAAAGTAAAAGTAGAAACTAGATCTCCGTTGTGTTCATTTTCAATCATCTCGTCGTCCATGCTACTATGCTAACGCCACCGCCACCAAGCTGCAATGATTTGCCGCGAATGAATACCGCTGAATCTGTCGATTCATCTTGTAGTGGTGCGTCAAATGCAACGTAGATTCCCATCCAATTAGATTGAATTTGGTATTGATGACGTGAAAAATAATAACGGTAACTCCATTGAAATGATTCAAAACTAAAGTAACGAGCCAATTTTTTAAATGTAAGGAGTAGAAAGTACAGATATTTGTGTAAAAATGTAAGGAGTAGAAGTAAAAAGTCGCCATTAAAATAAGTAGTAAAGTAAAGTAAAAATATCAGAAAAATCTACTTGAGTACAGTAACAAAGTATTTGTACTTCGTTACTTCCCATCTCTGTCCATTGCTGAGATGCTCTTATGGAGAAAACAGCCTGACCAAAGGCTGTTTTTCTCCGGGGGATGATGCAGTCTTCCCTCACTGCCCCTCTGGTTACCCTGACCTCACTGGATCTGAACTGCACAAAGTCACATAGTGGAGGTGGTGCTAAACCATGTCTGATTTTATAAATTAAACAGATGTTTTTGAACTTGATAAGATTGTTCCAGGTAAGTAACTGATATTTCCTCAGAATACTACAGTGGTGGTAATGGTATGGTTTTTTATCCAGTATTTTTAATGCTTGTTTATATAATGTTTCTAATGGTTTTATTGTAGTAGAGTGAGTATTGGACCAACTTATTAGACAACTTATCCTGAGCCATGGAAATTTGCTAGCGTCATTTCCATATTTAAAGGTGGTAACTCTCTTCTGACATCTAATTATCGACCTATTAGCATTTTGTCAACAGTATCTAAAGTTTTTGAAAAACTGGTTGCTAAACAAATCATTAATCATCTTAATTGCAGCTTCTTTCCTTTACACTCAATGCAGTTTGATTTTAAGGGTAAATCATTCTACAGAGACGGCAACAAGTTATTTTTGTCTCTCACAAGATAGTTTGGACTTATTGGCTTTTTTAAGGGCATTATCTCTGTCTTTCATTAATAGTTTGATGTCGTCACTGAGCCAGGGAAGAGAACACTTTCTGCTTTTGTGTTTAATTGTAACTGCAAATTCATTCATTTTTGTCTGTAAGCATTCAGTGAATTTCTGACTAATTATTTCTAGTTCATTATCCAATAGTAAAATGTCCCAGTTCATATTTCTTATTGCAGTGTGAAATTGTTCCTGTTTGTTCCTTGGAATACCAATGAACTCCTTCTTTCCGGAATAGGCTGAGAATTGCTGTCTGGTTAACTTTCTTGTTATCAGCACCAAGTTATGATCTGAGAGACCAGTCAACATATTGTATGATTTTGTGATCCGTTCAGGATGATTGGTGAAGATTAAGTCAATTTTAGTGCTACAAGTGTTTGTAATCCGTGTCGGTCCTTTAACCATCTGGACAAAATTAAATCCATTCATAATTTGCTGAAGTTTTTTCCTTGTACTGTTACCATCCCAATGTAGATTAAAATCGCCCATCACTATAACCTCCGTTTTGAAATCACACTGCTTTAAAATTTCCTTGAATTTATCATAAAAGTCTATCTTTGCAGATGGTGGTCGATATAGGACTATTAGTGTGAGAGACATCTGAGGTGCAAGAGATAAATTTACTCCAACACATTCTTAATCAATTGGGTTTTCCACTGGATTTCGCTGCACTGTATGTTATCTCTCACATAAATCATTACCCCTCCCCCTTTGCCGTCAGCTCTATCTCTCCTGTAGGAGACATACCCCAGAACTAAAAGCGCAGCAGTAGGGGAATTATTATGCATCCAAGTTTCGGATAGGCAGAAATAATCCAGATTTCCCTGGATCCCTTGGCCAAGATAAAAAAAAAAACACACAGCGTGTTGAAAGAGTCCCTCTAACACGTCCTTCTCGTAACAACCAGCACACCTACCAGACTCTGCCAGGTTTCCAGTTACCATTCATCTAATCTTCCTGCTCCTGCTTCTTTATATATGGCTCAATCCCAGCTATCGGGGCCAGATCATTGAGATTACTGATGTGATGTTGAGGTTGAGCTCATAGCTCATGTTTTAGTTCATGTTCTCATTCATGGAGGCCAGTGGTGAGAGGAATTTAGTGTGTCTTAGAGTTCCTGATCATGTTCTGTCCCTTATCCACTGAGCGTGCTCTAGTCCTCTCTTGGCTCAGTGGAGGGAGCTAGTTTTAGCGTACCATAGTTTTCCTAATATCCTGACCTGTTCTGCCTCTCAACTACTGAGCCTGCCTGTTCCCATCTGAACGTTGCTGCCTGAACTCTTCGTGGACTCCTGGATCCGTGGACCTGGCCTGCCTTGGCTTCAATTAAATTCAATTCAGTTTATTTCTATTGCGCCAATTACCAGCACATGTCATCTCTAAGCACTTTTTGCCTAACTTTCTGCTTCTGAATGCAGACAAAACAGAAGTTATTTGGACCAGAGTCTCTGGAAAAGAAGCTGATTAGTCAGTCGCTTCATTTGGATGGGATTAAACTGATTTCAGATAATAAAGTAAAAAATCTTGGTGTTTTTGATCAGGACCTGTCATTTAAATCCCAGATCAAAGAGGTTTCTAGAATTTCCTTCTTTCATCTGAGGAATATTGCAAAAATGAGCAATCTCCTGTCCAGGGGTGATGCTGAGAAACTAGTCCATGCATTTGTTACTTCAAGGCTGGACTATTGTAATTCTTTACTATCAGGAAGTCCACAAACTGTAGTTAAAAGCCTTCAGCTGATCCAAAATGCTGCAGCCAGAGTTCTGATGGAAATGAAAAAGAGAGATCATATCTCTCCTATCCTGGCTTCTCTTCATTGGCTTCCTGTTAAATCTAGAATAGAATCTAAAATCCTCCTTCTCACATATAAAGCCTTAAATGGCCAAGCTCCATCTGATATCAGAGATCTGATTGTTCCTTATGTTCCTAACAGAGCACTTCGCTCTCAGTCTGCAGGTTTACTAGTGGTTCCTAGAATTTCTAAAAGTAGAATGGGAGGCAGATCTTTTAGTTCTCAGGCTCCTCTCCTGTGGAACCAACTACCAGTTTTAGTCCGTGAGGCAGACACCCTGTCTACTTTTAAGGCTAGGCTTAAAACTTTCCTTTTTGATAAAGCTTCTAGTTAGAGTGGCTCGGGTTATCCTGATCTATCTCTATAGTTCTGCTGCTATAGGCTTAGACTGCTGGAGGACATAGGGACCCCTTTTTCCTCATTCTGCTTCATTCTATCTCTATTCTCCCACTCTGCAGAATCTGTTAGTTCAATCTCTAACGTTCTGCTCTCTCTGCTTTTTCTCATAGTAGCTTCATCTGGTCTGTTCCTGTTTGGCTGTTTGCAATCAGCTGGTTTTCCTTAGATAGAAAACTTTGAATCAATCTGACTGGTTGATCTGGATCTATAAAGTGACCTGAGATGACATGATGTGAATTGGAGCTATAGAAATAAACTTAATAGAATTTAAACCTGTAGATAAACTGGGTTTGTCTAAAAATCCTCCCTTTAAAACTTCTATATCATGCTTCATTGTTCTGTAAACTGATCTCTGGCTAATCCTGTGATTAAAACACGGGAATATAAAATACCTCTGAGGACATATTGGTGAACATGAACATCAAGCCATGCTGAAACAATGGCCACTTTTAATTGATACCCAAACGCAAAGGGCACCAGAACACAAAACAGCTAAAGGAAATAAAAATTCATGGTCGCTCCTCAGATCTTTCTGTGGGACAGGCTGGGATTATCTCAGGTAGAAGTCAATGGCATACAGGTAGATGGACGGCATTGACTGGGACAGCATAACGGCACAGGTAAACCACGCCCTCTGTGATCAAACTCAGATCCTCTAAAGAGGCCAAGCAGCTTCTTTCTCTGAGTGTTCAAAGGTTCATATTCTTAATGAAACAGCAGTATCCCAGTGAAATGGTGTCTAAATGATTCAAACATCTTCCAGTTATTAATTCTCTAATGCTATAATCACACCTAAAGCAGCAAAGGCAGCAGGAGCAGCTGGTTTAAATACAAAGTCAAAAGTTGATGCGTGTTAAGGTGCAAAACATCCTGCGGTCCGTTTTGAGCAGCAGGAGCAGCGCGTCATGAGCTTCTGAGCATCTGAGGCGCTGAACACGCTGCAAACGCAGCTGCTGGAAACATTGACCTTTAGCTGCTGGACATCAACCAATGAGAGAAGCTGATCTGGGAGCTGGCAGGGAGTCAGACGCAGCACTGCTGATGCAGAGCGCTATGATCACTCCTCTGAAACAGTTTATTAACGCCTAAATTAACTTCAAATGTAGAAACCTGCCGGCAGAATATGTTGGCTTTTATTATCCTGCTGCCTGCAGTTTGTAGCACAGACCTGAAAAACGCTAACATCTACTTCCAGCCGCCACCAACAGGAGGGGAAAACCCCCAAGAGGCGAGCGGGCCTGATAATATCACAGATTTGTCCTTTAACTCCTTGGTTCCAGTATTAATACTTGTGCTGCAGAGCAAAGACTGTCTTCAGAGGTATAACCTCAGCAATCTCAACCTACAGCAGATTTGTTGGCTGAAAGCCACAATACGTACCCCAGGAGATGACCCCGACGCTTGCTGCCAGCAGGACACAGAGGATCCCCAGAGAGACCAGCAGCACACGGACTCTGATGTCTGTAAAAGTTATGATGAGGGGTTTATCAAACCATTTCATGCAAGAGTTAATTGGTTTGGTGACGATGGCAGCTCAGAGGGAGGTGAGGAAGGTCTTACCTTTGCAGTTGACCTCCATCACTGATGCTCAGAAACCGAAGGAAAAAGGCAGAACCTGCTGGAGATGATTTAAAGAACCTCTGAACTCTGCAGTGAGACGTTTCTCTCTTATAACTGAAAAACAGGAACTTCAGAAACACTGAATGACGTTGGAATTTGTTTATTCAAAACCATCTGATTCTGATCTTCAGCCTTCATCTGATTAGATATAAAGGATCGTTTACATATTGTTATGCAATAACTTTATACTCAGTGCTTCTAAATATCTTATTTAATCATATTCAGACCTGGATGAAAGCTAGAGCAACAGATGAAAGTGAATCCAGTTAAGGTCATGGTCAAACAGTAAACTCTGTAAAGCTGCTGGTACCATTCTGCAGTAGGCTGGATGGAGTATTTCTTGTTCCACCAACCTGAGACCACAGTCTGAGCGGACAGAGAGAACGATGTGGAGCGAGCAGGGAGCGTGAGTTTAAACATTGCACATCCTTCTCACTGTGCTACATGTCAGTATCTATGGAAACCCAAAAGGGCCACAGTTCAGCCCTTCATTGTGCATTTATCCAACTGAACAAAAAGCTGTTTAACGAGTCAGACTGCTGTCCAATTAAAGAGCCACAGCTATGGGGCGTGCTTCGGTGGAGCAGGGATGACCCATGAATGGAGGCCTTAGTCCTTTAGGCGGGCGATCTGGGTTTGAATCTGACCTGTGGTCCTTTTCTCCATCTCTCTCTCATCCCACTTTCCTGTCAGCATACTGTCGAAAAAAACAAAAAAATTATCCAGATAAATATCTGCCTGAAGGAGGGCGCATCGCCCTAAACTCTCACACACTGATGAGAAAACAGATTAAAAAATGAACAAAAAGGGAACTTTTAAAAATATTTTTGATGTTTTGATAATTCTAATGCATTGAGGACCAAAACTGAGGGTTTTGTTGGACAGATAAAATGGCTATCATTGCATTGATATAAGAAGTCAGCATCGGCTTAGATAATACGAAATCTGCAGTTGGTGTATTTACTGATCTCAAAAAAAGCTTTTGACACAATAAATCATGAAATATTAAGTAAGATATTGGAGTGTTATGGCATCTGAGGATTGGTAATACTCTGGATGAAAAGTTATCTAAGCAACAGGAACAATGGGTGACTGCAAGTCATGGTGCTTGGACATTGCATGTGGTGTCCACCAGGGGACATCTGCAAACTTTCTAGAATACTTACATTTGTTTTGTTTGCAGACGATACTTACATCTTTTGTACAGCTGATAATTTGGATCAGCTTATGGCAGATATCAACCTTGAGTTATGTCACCTTAAGATTAGGTTTGATACTAATAAACTATCATTAAATTAGGATAAAACTAAGTTTATGTTGTTTGGAAACTGAGAAAGTAAAACAAATTTAGGTATTCTGATAGATAATGTGACAGTAAACGGAGTTAAATCTGAAAAACTCCCATGAAGAGAAAAGACAATGAGGAGAAATGTATTCTATTCAATTCAGTTTATTTATATTGCGCCAAATTCACATCATGTCATCTCAAGGCACTTTACAGTTCAACCAGATGACTCTCCAGCAATCCCTCACGCTAAGCATGCTTGTAGCGACAGTGGAGAGGAAAAACTCCCTTTGAACAGGAAGAAACCTCCAGCAGAACCAGGCTCAGTGTGAGCGGCCATCTGCTGAGGCCCACTGGGGTTCAAGGAGACAGAAGCAGACATAGAAAAAGAAGCATAGATACAGACGGCAACTGTCAACCAGCTCCACAGGCGGCCCCGTCCAGGAAACACACAGCCAGGCAGACGAGCTCCGAGCCAGCTCCCATGTCAGAGGATGAAGAGAGCACATCCAGTTAGTCACAGTCAGAGAAACAGGGCTACACTGGAAAACAGGCCAAGCTCCAACATCTAGAAACAAAGGTTTTGATGGCAGCAGCACAGCTGATATTTCTCTCCAGGATGGAGTCACAGCCAAACAGGAACAGACCAGATGAAGCTACTATGAGAAAAAGCAGAGAGAGCAGAACGTTAGAGATTGAACTAACAGATTCTGCAGAGTGGTGAAATGGGTATTAATACAATTACTTTAGTCTTTGGCGCTCAGACCTCGGAAGGAAACATAGCGCTTAATTTTGAAAGATATGCATGAACAGTGAGTAAAGAACAGGGCTGTTCCCTGTTGGGTTTTTAATCCAGAGAAATGTGAGTTTAAAAGATTAAAAGGAAATGATCAACACAGAGACCGGGTTTTGTGACGTCAGTGTGTGCCCGGTGGAGAGAAAATGCTGGCTTGGAAAGCCATCACCTTCTCCCACCGATCCCTTCATGGCAAAGCCTTTTATTAACAGTTTACAACATCAAACAGGCGGGCCTAAAACAGAAGAGCCAGTAATCATTGTCTGGGAGGATGCAGGTAACAAGATAGTGTGAATTGACCAACTGGCTGGATGGAAGTCACACATCCGTGTGATTCTGCCTCATGACCTACAGGAGGTCATAAAAGTTTATGACCCTTCTGGTTGAAACACAGGATAGATATCACTCTAACATTTCCCTCCTCTTATACATAAAAACATCAGCATCTTTCAATTCATATTTTATTCATAGGAGTAGGAATATGAGTACAAACATAACAGTCTGTTTTGTTCAAATCTTCAGCAACATGTTTTGCATGTTGCCACCACATCTTGGCACTGTAGGATGACTTACTGTGGATCCATCAAAAATCATCCTGCTCTTCCTTTGTTTCAGACAGTCAGTTTGAGTTCCTAGGAACACCGGTCCAACAGTCATCACCGGGCAGCATAACCACTTTGGTTTTTCAGATCTTTGCCAGTCCGTCCAAGGAAACACCCACTAACCGGACTCTAAAAGACTGGGTTAGGTTGGTTACTTCACCAGCGTTGAGACGAGTGGTCCTAAAAAAACCAAACCCCTTTGAAGCTGGACTTCACCACAGATCTATACCTTAGTCGTGGGGTCCCTGTGAAAGTAACTGGGCTTTTTTGCTGTGGAAAGTTTTTAATCAGTTTACAATGACTCTGGTGGATCCAAGTGTCTCTCTCCTGGATTTTCACGGCAGTGGGGGTTGTTAGTTGCACTTTGTAGGGTCCTTCCCACCTCGGAGCTTTCCAAGTTTTCCTTTTGATGATTTTAATCAGCACTCGGTCTCCAGGCTTCAGGCCTTCCTGTGGGGAAACAAAAGGAGCACTAGGCAGATGACATGTTTTCCGAACAGTTTTGTCGCTGAAAAGCTTCAGCATCCACTTAGTTAGCGGGTCAATGTCATCTTGTTCGTTTTCTGCCCATGGCTTTCCTGTTTCTGCCATGAATTTTCTCAATCTATTTTTAACATCCTCGAACCATTTAACTGGGTTCTGTCTGGCTGGAGGTAAACCTCGACAGGCAGTCCGCATCTCTGCATCTGTCCATGGCCCACACACAAGAACAGTGGGTCCACAATCCAGTGGGTCACCATCTTGGGGTCCCGTGCGTTGACCACAATGAGGGTTGGCCACCTCCAACACCGGAAAAGCACATGCCCCCCTCCCAGGATCTTGGTCCTGTTCTTGTTTTTTTAATTCAGCCAATCTTGGATGAATAGGGGCAGATGGGCCCCTTCCACAAGCCTCCACTTGATAATCATCCCTGTAACACTTCGAATCAAGCTTCACATCCACTGCTTGAACCCCATCACCCCCTTGAATTTGATTAGGGTCAGGATATTGAGGAAGCATACGGAAAACAACAGTTTCTTCATCAGCTTTAACTTTTACAGCAGCAATTGTAGCTGTCTTTCTATCCTTCTTCTGTTGTATTTGGCTTTCCTTATTTTTTGCTTGCATAATCCACTTATTTAACTCTTCTAATTCTTCTCTGTATTTAGCTTGTTTTCTTTTTGATTTATACACCAACTTCATCTCCACCTTCTGCTGAATCTTAGTCAGCGGCTCAACTTTCAACTTTCCATCCCAGCCCTCCTTCTCAATCCACTTTCTGGCAAACTCTGGGTCACCACCACAACACGCCACCATCCATCTAACATAATCTGGCATTTCCTTCTTACTACTGCCTTGTCCCATTTTTAAAGAATTTAGTCCAGTACACAGCGGTTCGATTGTTTCCTCACACACTTTCACACAGTCACACACACCTAAGGCCTAATATTTTTTATTTTTTAACCAACATAGAGTCCCAGACTCGAATGCACAGAATACCCAGGTCCCAGACTTGTAAACAAAACTTGGTTTCGTCAAATATTCTTGCAACTACAACCAGTTATAGCTTGAACACAGAGGGTCCCAGACCCAAACGCACAGAATATCCAGGTCCCAGACTTGTAAACAAAACTTGGTTTCGTCAAATATTCTTGCAACTACAACCAGTTATAGCTTGAACACAGAGGGTCCCAGACCCAAACGCATAGAATACCGATCCCAGATCTCTCACAACAAACCCTGTTTGTCAAATATTCTAGCGACTACAACTAGTTATAGCTTTCACATGGTCCCAGACCAGCTTTTAATAAAAAACCTTAGGCGTACCGTTTCTGTGCAGATCAGTCCTCAGCTTGAGTCGTCACCAGGATGAAAGTGTGATAGTGTGAATTGACCAACTGGCTGGATGGAAGTCACACATCCGTGTGATTCTGCCTCATGACCTACAGGAGGTCATAAAAGTTTATGACCCTTCTGGTTGAAACACAGGATAGATATCACTCTAACATTCCCCCCCCAGGCCTGAAACCTATGGTGGAGTGGAGATAGATGGAGTTGGTCAGTCTGTAGACTGCTGGTTGGAGAGACGGTCTGCTGAGCTTTATGGGGAGATCCAGTGGACTGCGTGAGCTGATACTAGAGCAGGGGTGGGCAATTCCAGTTCCTGGGGGCCAGTATCCTGCATATTTTAGATATGCCTTTGGTTCAACACACCTGAATCAAGTAATCAGATAATTGGGAGGACTCTGCAGGAACCGACTGCATACTGAGGAGGTAACTCAGCCATTTGATTCAGGTGTGTTGGACCAAGGATGGATCTAAAAGTTGCAGGATACCGGCCCCCAGGAACTGGAATTGCCCACCCCTGTACTAGAGCTTCACTCAGTGACCTGGAAAATGGAAGTCCAGCTCTGATAACACAGGTTGAGAGAACCTGTCCAAGATGAGCTAGCATGAAGCGACAGTGGAGAGGAAAAACTCCCCATTGTGAAGAAACCTCTGGCAGAACCAGGCTCAACATGGCGGTCTTCTGCCGGACCGGTTAAGATGAGACAGGGAACGAGTCCAGGAGGAATGATGATGTAGAAGGATGGAAATGTGGAGTTTTGCCTGATGTGTTTGTGTAGGTATGTATATGTTCATCTACGTGTATGTATGGAGATGTATGTATATATATATATAAAACCAAACAAAAAAATTTTCTCACCCCCCTGGTGGGGTGGTATGTGTCATCCTCAAGCTCGGGTCCTCTACCTGAGGCCTGGGAGTTTTTTGGGTTCTGCGCAGTATCTTAGCTGTTCCTAGGACTGCGCTCTTCTGGACAGAGACCTCTGATGTTTTACCTGGAATCTGCTGTAGCCACTCTCCCAGTTTGGGGGTCACAGCCCCCAGTGCTCCCATTACCACTGGCACCACTGCTGCTCTTCCTTTCCACATCTTTTCTAGCTCCTCCTTCAGTCCTTGGTATTTCTCAAGCTTCTCGTGTTCTTTCTTCTTGATGTTGCTGTCGCTTGGGATTGCCACATCTATCACTACTGCCTTCTTCTGCTGTTTGTCGATCAACACGATGTCTGGTTGGTTAGCCATCACCTGTTTGTCAGTCTGGATCTTGAAGTCCCATAGGATCTTAGCTCGGTCATTCTCAACTACCTTAGGCGGTGTCTTCCATTTTGACCTTGGGACTTCCAGCCCATACTCATGGCAGATGTTCCTGTACACTATGACAGCTACCTGGTTGTGGCGTTCCATGTATGCACTTCCTGCCTGCATTTTACACCCTGCTGTTATGTGCTGTATTGTTTCAGAGGCATCTTTGCACAGTCTGCATCGGGGGTCCTGCCTGGTGTGGTAGACCCTGGCCTCTATTGATCTTGTACTGAGTGCCTGTTCTTGTGCTGCCATGATTAGTGCCTCTGTGCTGTCCTTCAGTCAACCTCCATGCATTGTGAGGAGCTTTCTCGTCTTGATGTCAGTGGCCTCTATCTCCTCCTTTGGCCAGTTTATTATACCAGCGGGGTATCTGATGACTGGTAGGGCATATGTGTTGATGGCTTGGATCTTGTTTTTCCCATTCAGCTGACTTTTCAGGACCTGCCTTACTCTTTGTAGGTATTTAGCTGTGGCAGTCTTTCTTGCTATCTCTTCGTGGTTTCCGTTAGCCTGTGGCACCCCAAGGTATTTGTAGCTGTCCTGAACATCTGTAATGTGGCCTTCTGGTAGTTCAACCCCCTCGGTTATGATCATCTTCCCTCTCTTTTAGACCATGTGACCGCACTTGTCCAGTCCGAATGACATCCCAATGTCGTTGCTGTAGATCCTGGTAGGTTCAGGCCTATGCAGAACAGCAGCAGGGATAGTGCATCACCCTGGTATATGCCGCACTTAATGGTGACTTGTGCTATTGGCTTTGCATTGGCTTCCAGACTTGTTTTCCACAGCTTCATTGAGTTCTTGATGAAGGCTATTAGAGTCCTGTTGATCTTGTACATTTCCAGGCATTCCAGTATCCATGTATGTGGCATTGAGTCGTAGGCTTTCTTATAGTCAATCCAGTCAGTGCACAGATTTGTCTGCCTGGTCTTACAATCTCGAGTGACTGCTCTATCCACTAGTAGCTGGTGCTTGGCTCCTCTGGTGTTAATGCCTATTCCCTTCTGGGAAGAGTGCGTGTTTTGAGCCATGCGCACACTCAACAAGAACCAGTAACCGTTGTAACGGTTACTGGTTCTGCGAAATTGCTTTGGTCTGTTCTTAGATCTTCCAGCCACTGAGCACTGGTGTTGTGGGATGCCTCCTTCTCCCATATGTTTCTCCAGTACTGTTCAGTCTCAGCCCTGGGTGGATCTGATCTTGAATTACCCTGCCACAGTGAGTACACTTTGGATCTGTTGGTGGAGAACACCTGGTTTATTCTCCTGGCTTCTGCTTCTCCCTTGTATCTCCTTAGATGGAGATGAAAGAAGCAAAACCTGTTTTAATCATTGCTAATATTTTCTAATATTTTCTAATATCTTTAATAACTTTTACCTTTAACTCCTAAACTTCCAGTTTTACACCCAATAAACTAAATGGAACAAAGCGGTTTGCGTGTTTTATCCTTTGCCCATCAGATCTTTGTAGATAAACCAAAACACGCCCACTTATTGCACAAACAACATGGGGCTCTTTGTTTGGAAGGTTTCAGATCATCATGTAAAGCTATTATTGCCTTCAGCGCCTTCACTGCCTTTTTATTTTGGAATTTGATTATCCAAAAAACAAAGATTCTGATCTTCAGTCATTATCTGATTAAACAGATCATTTCATTGAGTTTCCTCTTTCAGTCCTATTGTTCTTGGTCTTCACACATCTAAGGGAATATGATGCCATTCTGCTCCTTTAAACAAAGGAATAAAAGCAGGAAATAAAGAGTAAAATGGTCCTGATCCACAGCGGGTTGCACTCAGCTGTTTTCTATTTCCTGGTTCTTATCTGTTGTTGTGATAAACATGTCCCCGTTAAGGTGCGTCACATTGAGCGTGGTGGCCGCAGGGATTTCCTCCTCCTGCATCCCACATGCAGATTTTACACCCTGGAACGCATCATCAAGTAGGAGGAGCTTCAGCTGCATGAAGCTGAAACTCCTCTGATATGAAAAAGACTCAGCAGACAGACTGACTGGTTATCAGTTTATTAGAGGTTTGAGCTTCTAGAATGATCATTAGGAAAAAATAAAAAGATTAGAACTGCTGCTGTTTCAGAGAAATCATCCATCCATTCATCCATCCATCAGTTCATTTATCATCCATCAGTCCATTCATTCATTCATCCATCCATCCAGATGAAAATAGAGGAATCAGTTTATTAAAGTTTATCAGCTGACCTCATATTATCTATATTAATAACTCATTCATCTTTTCTGGACGTCTTTCTATTATTTCTTCATGCAACAGGATCAAGTATAGAAGAGACAGGAAGGTCAAGATCATCAGTCAGACGGTTGAATCTGTTCCCAGTGGAGATGAAGGAGTGAATCAGGCTGATGTGGAGCTTCACCAGGTTGATGGATAGAAACCACTGCCATTACCCAGAACCTATGAAGGAGAAAAACACATAAAACAGTTCATCTCTGGCTGCTTCAGCTTCAGATCTAAAACCAAATATTAAAACTCAGAGAAAAATAAAAGAAATATTTCCTGTTTTAAGTTTATTAGTGTTACGGATCAGAACTACAGCTGGTATCAGGTAACGGCTGATGTACCACTGATATTCACTGATTGCTGATCATCTGTTGTTAGTACATGGTGGACTGAAGCCACCAGCCGCCATATTGGTACTCCCTAGTTAGACCGGTCACAATGTCAACAATCTGTGCTACAGCATCGAACAACCATGATGTTCTCATTTTCAGGGCTTAAGACTTTTAACATAAAGATAAATTCATCACTTTGACACAGACTGACTGCTTCAGAGCATCAGTAGATTAATTTTAACTTGGAATAAAAAAATTGGCCCATCACATTGGATAGTCATTATGAAGTCTATAAATCATCTAATATAACAGATTATACAAATAAATCACAATAACATTAATGTGTTAAAGGAGCAGAATAATACAGATGAGCCAAAAGTGATAAATTGATGATGAACATGTAAAATACATGGATTGATGACATTGTTAGAAGTACACGTCTGTTAATGCTATAGTACTTTCTATCTGCAAATACTGCCTGCCTGATGCTGCAGAGTACAGACTATACTATATGAGACATATATATAGTTAGTTCCTCCACTGACTGTAAATTACCAGTGAAACGTTTTCAAACATCAGAAAACTGCTTGTTGTTGCAGCCAAACACGTTGCATGTTTATGGCCCAACTCCGTGAGAGGAGGGAGTACCAAGATGGCGGCAAGTGACTTCAGTTTTCCGACTATCTGATATCCAGATAATAATAATAATTGAACTTTATTAATCTCACAGTGAAGAAATTCCCTCTCTGCATTTAACCCCCCTCCCCTTGGGGAGCAGTGGGCTGCCATCATGCGGCGCCCGGGGAGCAGTGGGGGGTGAAGGGTCTTGCTCAGGGACCCAGAGTGGAGGCTATGGGGATCGAACCGGGTACTGCAACCTTCTCAGAGTGCAGAGCGCTGCTCTGACCTCCAGGCCACCATTAGGCCACATTGAGATCAGTGCGTCTCTCTGACATCACATCCTGAAGCTGTTCTGTGTTTCTGCTCTCTTCCTTCAACAGGAGAGAATATTTCCAGACGCACTCTTTGCTCCAGGATAATATCTATTTCTACACATGGAGCCTGATGCAGCATCATCTTCATGCTCTGGTTGGGTTCAGAGTCCCTTCAGTCATAGCAACATCTGGGTAAAATAATAAGAAGGTCATTTATTCTTAATCTAACAAATTAACATTTATCTTATTGGATGATTTTGTTTTACATCTTAAACTAATTTCAGCCAAATAAAAGAAAAGTGACATTGAAATAAAATAGAAATAAAAAATAAAACCCAAACAGGATCAACGGATAGTTTAGGTAAACAAGAAGTTTTTATCTGTTTATGTTTTTTTGGTCAAATTACTGAGGAGGAAAAAAGACGTGGAAATCCTAAAAAGACTAAATCCTGAGAATTTCTCCTGAGAAAAAAACAGTTTTAAAACTAGAAAGTGGGCGTGTCCTTACACACAGGTCTGTTTGGGTCTACGGACCTGTCAATCATGTCTCTTTGATCATGTGATTGAGAAACGCTCCAACATGTGGAAATAAACAGCAAAGTGTTTTTATAAAGCCTCTAAAATGAGTCTCTGTGATTTCATGGAGCGTTTCTGCTTCCTCTGAGTTTCCTTCTTCTTTTCCTCCCACTGATGAATCAGACTGATCCATGATTATTTTTATTTTCACATAACCTTTTTTTAACCAGGGAAAAAATCCCATTGAGATTAAAAACCTCTTTTTTAAGGGAGTCCTGGCCAAGAGGCACTCAACCCTGATTGGTCGATTGCTAGAAATAGACAGAAGATCCCAGCCTGCTGAGTTTGATCCTCAGTGAGATGGACGGTTAATTTAGGCGGGTTGGATTATAGAGGGGGGGTCGTTGTTCTTCTAACCCCGACTTAATCACAGTTCAACAGACTCTCACCCAGACTGTGATCCAGTCCATCAATCCAGGATCAGTTGATGGCAAAACGAGCAGAAATCCAGAATAACACAATCACCAAGAAGACTCTGGAAGAGAAGAAACCCTCAAAGATCACTTGTTTGAACATCAGTCTGTGGCTCTGAGGCTGCAGGTGTCAAAGCTCACCTGGTCTCTGAGAGCATCCAGGACGCCCAGGTGTGCAGAGCTGTTTGAACACAAACGAGGAGGAACTTTCCTGGTTTTCTCAGACAGATCAAACCTCCGCAGGAAGCTCAGCCAACTGCTCTGGTAGGAAAGACTCTCTGTGGAGAAGAAACAAGATGAGGAGGACAAAGACCAGCAGTGAGGGGGGGGCTTTGTTTTCTGACCCCGCCCTTCAAAACCCTTTGGCACGCCACTGAAGTCTCTCCGTTATTTTTTAACATTATTTTCTTAGATTTTCCTTTGGATCCTTTTATTCATCCAGTTCTGAACAGCAGGAATAATAACAATAGATCCCAGTTTGTTTGGATCCCAATTAAACGTCTAATTAATCAGCTTCACACTTTTCTAAGATTTCATTTTATTCTTTGAGATTAAAACTTTTAGAGAATAAATCAAATGGAGTCCAGACTTCCTCAGTTTTCTTTCCTCTCTGTAGGGAAAATGTTAAACATTTGTTGAATCCAAAATGAAACTCTTGGATTATTTCTCCAATAGATCGATTAGAGTTCGGGTTTAGGTATCTTCTTAGATCTTCTTATGTTTAGTAGAATGAAGCGGCAGGATCAAGAGACCAAGGTAACATGATCTAAAAGGTCACCTGGTCATCAATCATGACACCCAAGTTTCTTGCTGCTGTTGATGGAGTCAGAGAGAGGGACCCAGTCTGGATGTGAATATTGGGGTGTCTGGGTGGTTTAACTGGGAAAACAAGCAGTTTAGTTTTAGAGAGATTCAGTTGGAGGTGATGGGCTTCCAACCATTTGGACATGTCAGAGAGACAGTCTGAGAAGCATGTGGAGACCATGTGGTCCTCAGGTAGAGATGGGTGTGGTCAGCATTAGAGTGCAATGAGAAACCATGTGATTGAATGATCTGAGGTCCCAGTACTGAACCTTGAGGAACCCCTGTGGTACGATGGGGAACTGCAGAAGTTAGACCAGGCCAGGATACTTTGAATGATCGACCAGTGAAGAACGATTCAAACCAGCAGTCTGCTCTCCCTGCTCCTCGCTATCAAGCAGGATCAGTCAATGGGAGCGGCGGCCTAGTGGTCTGGGTCTGGCCAAGACCCTAAACCCCACACTGCTCCCCGGGGGGGGGGGCGCACAATGGCAGCCCACTGCTGCAAATGCAGAGAGGGAATTTCTCCAAAGTGAGATCAATAAAGTTATATTATTATTATAGGATGAGTGCTAAGGACTTCCCTGAGGCTCTCGCCTCTTCTAAGGCTTCTGTCACAGATGGCGGCATGGCGGCGTGGATGGATGATGAATGGATAAATAACATCATTATATCTATTATCCCTGATTCTCCTTCCTTCTTAAATAAAACAGATGACTCACGTTGGCCTGAGCAGAACTGATCAGATGGGATTATGTTGCTCATCAGGATGATCTCCAGCGCCACCTTCAGGTCGTCTCGCTCTCGGCTCAGCTGCTCAGTCAGGACCTCTGAGACGCACTTTTTAATAACCAGCTTCTGGTTATCTTCCTTCAGGCGCTCCATTTCCACCTCCTGATCCCCGAGCATCCTCTGGTTGCTCATCATCTCAACACCGACTAAAATGAGAAGAAACAGACATCAGAACCACTGACGTTGTTTTAATCCAGATTAGGTGGAGCTGGCAAACGTACCCCATTGAAGATGTATTACAAACATAAAGAATCAGATTGTAACTATGGTAACTCTGCAATCCAACAAGTTAACTTGACAAATCAACCATTGCATGCTTAAGGCAATCCCCAGAAGTTCTGGGCGATGAGAAGTAGCTACAGTCTTTCAGTCTGACTTACTGATTACTCCCAAGGCAGTTAATAATTACAACTCTTTTAATAATTAAAACTCTTACAAATCTAAACTTCAAAGAAAGAAAACCTCTTCTTTTTGTAACTTTGTATCGTCCACGATACAAAGTTACAAAAAGAAGAGGTTTTCCACCAGGTCCTTACTCTGAATGTTTAGATGAGTTTTCAGAGTTCCTTTCTGATTTGGTATTAAATACTGACAGGGTCATCATAGTGGGAGATTTTAACATCCATGCTGACATTGAAGGCGATAGCTTAAGAGCAGCCTTTAATGCTATCTTAGACACTATTGGCTTTGTTCAAAATGTGAATAGTCCCACACATTCTCATCTTCATACTTTGGATCTTGTGCTGACATACGGCATAGAATGTGAAGAAATAACAGTATTTCCTCACAACCCTGTCCTCTCTGACCACTTTCTAATAACCTTCAGGATTACTTTAACAGAGTTCTCCTCCCCCAAAAAAAGGTTAAATTTTAGTAGATCTTTATCAGATAGAGCAGTTATACATTTTAAAGAATCTGCTTCACTTTCTCTCTCCTCTGTGTCGCTGAACAGTGCTGCAGAGTGCAAAAGCTTAGCTTATTCCCCTTCAAAGGTTGATGATTGTGTTGATGGGGTTGCTAGTTTTCTGCGTTCTGCGTTAGACAACGCAGCTCCTTTGAAAATGAAAACCGTTAAAAATAGAAAGCTGGCTCTTTGGTTTAATGCAGAGCAAAATGAAATGAAGCAAAATGCTAGGAAACTGGAGAGAAAATTGCGAAAATACTTTACTGCTGTATAAGAGGACCCTTTGGAAAGCAAGAGCAGCATATTTCTCCTCATTAATAGAGGAGAATAGGAATAATCCTAGATTTCTTTTTAATCCAGTTGCCAAACTCACACAGAGCCATAGCTCTGTTGAACCGTCCATTCCACCTGCTCTTAGCAGCAATGATTTTATGGGATTCTTTATAAATAAGATTGATCTTATTAAAAATAAGATCATAAGCACTCCTCTATCCGTGATTGGTTTGTCTCTGGAGGGGGGGGGGGGGGGGGGCAGTATCTGAGGTAGTCATGGAATCTGAACCGGGTTTAGACTACTTTGATCAAGTTGAACTTTCAGAGTTAGCAAAATTATTGTCTTCATCTAAGCCTTCAACTTGGATGTTAGATCCAGTTCCAACCAGGTTATTTAAGGAGGTATTCCCTTTGATCTCCTCCTCCATTCTAGATGTGATTAATCTATCTCTGTTACAGGGATATGTACCTAAAGCTTTTAAGGTTGCTGGAATTAAACCTCTGCTTAAGAAACCGTCTCTTGACCCAGATGACTTGGTCAATTATAGACCTATATCCAGCGATGGGTCTATTAACCTCGATGTGTGGGTGCCTGCATGGAACCCATAGAGCAGAACACTGTATTGGTGCAGATGTCATTTGAATAAAGTCATGCTCCCGATCCAGGAGCTGTTTCTAACCGACTGATTCAATAAACTGTGTTTAAAATAGCACATGCATCATGTCAAATATATGTAAATGTAAAATAATGCACGTCGCATTTTTATCTTAATTTTTTCATTGTCTCATCCTTTTCCTCACAGTTCACTCAACTTCTCTAAATTAAAGTTAATTTCAAATTGACTCTTAATTTATTTACTGTTTTTACTTATTATTTTCAAATGAAGATTTAAAGTCCTAGTCCACAAGCATTCTTATTCACACTTCTTCCTCTAAATTTTCACGTTATGATATATGTTTACATTACTTATTAGATGCATCTAAAAATATCAAATATATTTTCAATTTAAACATAGATATGAAATAATACAACATACAATAACTTAAATTATATTGTTGTAGTAGGGCAGTGAATCCATTCAGTTTATTCTGTCCAATCAGAGGCCTGTAGTGTCTTTAAATGTCCAGCAGGTGTCAGTATTCCATCAGACAGAATCAATGCAGCATCAATACAGTTTGGTTTCTCATTAATAATCACTACCTATATCCAATCCTTCTTTCTCATCTAAAGTTCTGGGGAAGTGTCAGATTGGGTGGGGGCTTGAGAGGAGGACCCAAATACAGAGACAGAAGATGAAGGTGGTTACTGCAGATTTAATTGCTGCTTCAGCCCACTGGGGTTCAAGGAGACAGAAGCAGACATAGAAAAAGAAGCATAGATACAAAAGGCAACTGTCAACCAGCTCCACAGGCGGCCCCGTCCAGGAAACACACAGCCAGGCAAACGAGCTCCGAGCCAGCTCCCATGTCAGAGGATGAAGAGAGCACATCCAGTTAGTCACAGTCAGAGAAACAGGACTACACTGGAAAACAGGCCAAGCTCCAGCATCTAGAAAGGTAACTGTCAACTATACATAAACATTATGAAGTTTTAGTTAAAGTTTATTCTCTTTTCTCTTTCCTTAACATAGATGATTGTCATGATGTTACTGTAAATGTTCCATCCATTCATTATCATAATCATTTATTCCCTTTATTCTCTAATTGTTCCTGGGGGGACTGGAGCCCATCCCAGTAGGCAATGGGTGAGAGACACCCTGGACAGTCCACCAGTCCATCACAGGGACACATAGAGACACGCAAAGAATGAACACCAAACCCCCCCCCCCCCCCCCCACCCCCCCCCACCCCCCCACAGCTGAGGCCAGTCTGGAACAGCCAGTCAACCTAATATGCAGGTTTATGGACCGCAGGAGGAATCTGGGAAAAAGAGCCAGAGAGAACATGCAAAGATCCTGGTTCTCCCGGGACTCAGAACCCAGAACTAGTTTCAGTATCAACATTTACTGGGAACTACGATATATAACTGCTGTTTTATAATCCACATGGGCCATTTCATTAATAACGGCTGGTATTCCTTAATCATTCATCTAAAACATCTTTTCATTGTTTATTGATTCTGATTAGAAAGATTTATTAATAATATTAATTAATTCTTATTGCCACGTTGCCAGACAGGACACTTAAAAGGAAAAAAATCAAATAAGCAACAGTTCTGTGTCAGTCAGTGGAAATCTCCACCATGACATCAATCTGGGATGAAAACAGGAGGAAACTCACGCCAGGCGAGAATGGCGATGCTGACCAGCAGCAGGGCGGAGATCATCCCCATGGCAACCAGTAACAGGTAGAAGCAGTAATTGCTTTTAGGCTTCTTTTGAGCTGAGAGGAGAAAACATCAACAGTTAGAGGAGAAATGGTTTCAGATTGTCTCTGATCCTTTGCTTCCATGTGGAGCTTTGCTCAATAACATTCAGCATATTTTCAGTCTGTCTGCCTCAAACATCAGAGGCTGACGCTCCGCCGCACTGAGCCGCCGCTCATGGATCCAGCCCAGGATTTCTGGGCGCTGGGGGGGGGGGGGGGGGGGGGCTGACATCAGAGAACCAAAGACGTGAAAATCACAACGTAAGAAACTGAATCAGTCACAGCTTGGATTGACTTAAAAATCAGGTTTGGCTTTAAATGGTCAAACAGTTAAATTCCACCTGGAACAGGGCCGGTTCCAGGAATCTGGGGCCTGAAGGGTTACGTCCCCCGAGGTGTACTCCCATACCGCTGATGATCACTGATCACTATCTGCTCACCAATTTTCCCTCTAATTTAAGCAAATGAAACGTTAAACCTTTCAGACCTAACTTTTTATTCACAGATTCACTTTTAGGAAAAGGTCTGAAACTCAGATTCAGCATAAATTCATTAAACTCTTTAACTTCACTGATTTTAGTGTTTTTACTTGACTTACATAATAGTCATTTCATGATTAATATCCATAATAAAAAAATCTATCATTAATGCCTAATCAGTCGCTCTGGATAATTTATTTCTATAGCACCGATTCACAGCACATGTTGAAGGAACAGTTCTCCAGATCATCTGGGTCAATATGACTAAAAGTGTTAAATAAATAAATGTTGATAAACTTTAAAATGCTGCATCGGCCATTTAGGAGGAGAGGATCATTTGAAGAAAGTAAAAATAATGAAAATATTTGACGCAACTTAAAAATCTAATTAAATTTCTGTGCAAACATTTTTTGGAAAAAATAAAATTAATGTTCTTAACTATAGATGGAGCCCATGACAACTGACCCCCCCAGCCCCCACCCCACCCCCCCCAGTCCCCCACGGGCGGCTGTGGATGCCAGTTATTAAAGGCGGTCAGTAGAGGTGATATCTTCAAAAAGCCTTTATCCTAAAATAAATCCCCTTTCTTGGTTTTAACCGAGTTTCAATGTTCTTCAATTCCACCTAAAGGTGAAAATAACGCAGTCATGAATCATCGTTTCAAAAAGTCATTTCATGTTCATTTCTTTAGACGTGGTTAAAGTTTCCAGGATCTCCTACCTGCATCCAGCTCCTGTGAGTTTTCATATATCGCCTCATCGCTGCTGTTTACGACCATAACTGGAGAAGAACCTGCTGCTGCTGCTGGTTTGGATCCCAGAGAAGATTCAGAGAAGAACGTCTCGTTTTCCTCTGAAGGTTCAGACGACTTCACTGCAAGACAGCTGGAAAAAAACAGGAACCATAAGATAATTATATTAAATTTGTTTATTTCAAATGAAGCTGCTGCTTTACATGAATCCAAATATAAACAACTGGAACTTCATTGTGTTTAGTGTCAGGATAAGGCCTGATGTCTCACTGATAATGGTGAGCTGTTCACCAGAGGAATCCTCACTTTCACAGGAAACCGGCATAAAATATTCATTTATAAATATATGTTTACGTTTGTGTGTTCAGCCATGTTTTTGTTCCCTTGTGGGGATGATTTCACAGGAATATGCTACATTTTGGGAACATTTTTAACAGTCAGACAGTAGAAATGAATGGAAGTCAATGGGGGTGAAAACATGGACGCCACCACCTGCAGTCAGAATGAGCGACGCTGAGGAAGGAAGCGGCAGAGAGAGACAGAGAATAAACGCTGATTCCACTGATTATCAGGAAATCAATTTAACTTTTTTAATTGTCGTTTTATTAGAGAAACTTCCTGAATGAAGCTGATTACTGGGGGAGAGACGGCCTACTGGTTAGAGCAGCGCTCTGCGCCCTGAGAAGGCTGCAAATACCCGGGTCCATCCCCACAGACTGCCACTCTGGGTCCCTGAGCAAGACCCTTAACTCCACCCTGCTCCCCGGGTGCCGCACCATGGCAGCCCACTGCTCCCCAAGGGGAGGGGTTAAATACAGAGGTAAATTTCTCCACTGTGAGATCAATAAAGTTTCATTTACATAAAGTTGCTCCATAGAAACAGGAGACTTTACTATAAAGTCAGGATGTTTTTCTCTGGTTGATCTTCAATGTTTCTCTAGAATTTAACACAGAGCTCGTCTGCATGGAGTCACTATAGGAACTAGGAACAGATTTAGAACCTGTTCACATTTACATGGCTGGTAAACAAATGATGCTGCTGGAGCTTTTCACACAATCATTTCCATCTAGAGCCTCTGATTCAGTTACAGCAAACAGACGGAGCCGTAAAAGCAGAATAAATATATCAGCAATATCTGAACCTGATTGGTTTTGCAGAACGTTGGTGTTTTTAATCCAGGTTTGGGGGATAAAAAAAAACACCAACAGTCCCTAAAAGCTGAAGGTTGTTTTGGTTTTTTTGCATTCTGTATTTACCTTTTATGACAAAAGAAAACAACAACCAGAAAGACAAACTATAAAATTGTAAAAACAAACAGGAGCTGTTTAAAAACAAATGTTTTAATGGATTAGAATGAGAGAAGCTAGTTTCTGTCCTATGCATGTTTCTAAAAGCCAGGATGCTAATAAAGACAAGCTAACTAGCGCCTGCTGTGGTAGGGTGACCAGATGTGGGTTTGTGAAGGAGGACCCGGTGACGGTACGCTTCCACCCACCTGCCTTACCTCACCTCAGCGCCGCGGCTCCGTTCTTATGCGCTGTCCTCAACCAGAATCCTGGACGATTCTGAAATTCCCCCCAAATTTTTTTTAGGTATGAAAAGTAGGACATGTCTGGGAAAAAGAGGACGTCTGGTCGCCCTATGCAATGGATGCAAACAGACAACCTCATCATGGACGTCTGATGGCGGTCAGAGGGCCTGATGGCGCCGGCGTTCGGCAGCCTGGCTTCTGCCAGTGAGCCCCGGGGCAGCTGTGGCTGTAATGTAGCTCACCACCATCAGTGCGAGAGTGAACGGGTGAATGAAGTCTAAAGTGCTTTGGTCAAGTTCTCTGACACAGAAAATCACTTTAGAAGTTCGGGTCATTTAACATTTACTGTAAAGCTCAGAAAAGAAGGATCCAGAATTAAAAGAGGAAAACCGGTTAGATTTCTCAAAAAGTTTGTTAAAAACTGAATCGGAGCTCGTCTGCCTGGCTGTGTGTTTCCTGGACGGGGCCGCCTGTGGAGCTGGTCGACAGTTGCCTTTTGTATCTATGCTTCTTTTTCTATGTCTGCTTCTGTCTCCTTGAACCCCAGTGGGCCTCAGCAGATGGCCGCTCACACTGAGCCTGGTTCTGCTGGAGGTTTCTTCCTGTTCAAAGGGAGTTTTTCCTCTCCACTGTCGCTACAAGCATGCTTAGTGTGAGGGATTGCTGAAAAGTCAATGAGTCGATGCAATCAGCTGGTTTTCCTTAGATAGAAAACTTTGAATCAATCTGACTGGATGATCTGGTTGATCTGGATCTATAAAGTGAGTGAGATGACATGATGTGAATTGGAGCTATAGAAATAAACTGAATAGAATTAAATCAGAGGGAGCGGAACCTCTGTGGATGGAGACAGCAGGTTAGTGACCACATCTTCATGGAACGAACATGTGAGTCACTAACCTGGTCTTATAGTTCAGTCCGAGCCCAGAGGGTGAGGATGGTTCCATTTGGCCGGCTGCCAATGCAGTGCGGCGATCCCAACGCAGAGAGACCCGGTCGCTGATGCATCGATGGTCGGAGGACAGGCAGGAGAAAGCCAAAATCGGGGACATAGTCAGTTATCAGAACCAGGTCAGAGATCCGCTGAGGTGCCGAGGGAGAACCCAGGACAGAGTCGACAAGAGGAGGCTCTGATCCCGCCCACTGGAAAGGCTATGGAGGTCACCTGGGGGGTTAAAGGTCGTAAGGGGGTCTGATGGGTCGGTAACTCCCTCGTCAGAGTGGGTTTAGTCACATGCCTCATTGAGGTGTGAGTCAGGTGAGGGCAGGTAGGAGGTGGATCTTTGGAAGTAGGTGAAAAGTTCAGTCTAAGACTTTTTGTTAAGCTTGACCTTAATCCGGAGGACTGAGAATCTTCACAGGAATGACATCAATCAGGTGTTTCTGAAAAGTTCGGTCAGATTTCTGGTTTATTGGTGAAATGTTCCTGAGCGAGGAGCTCCAATGTTGTTTGTTTTTTAGTGTTTTGAAAACCATCATTCACAATCAATAGTTCAGTTTACTAAATCATGTTAAGTAGATTTTATATTTTTTTTCCATAGTCCTGTTATTTTCATTATTGTTGCGAATTTAGCCATTTCTGTGTCTAAGCACAGCTATATATATATATATATATAGCCAAATACCACCATGGCTAACCCCGATCTCCATAAAACCACCATGGCTAAACCCGATCTCCATGAAACCACCATGGCTAAACCCGATCTCCATGAAACCACCATGGCTAAACCCGATCTCCATAAAACCACCATGGCTAAACCATCTCCATAAAACCACCATGGCTAAACCCGATCTCCATGAAACCACCATGGCTAAACCCGATCTCCATGAAACCACCATGGCTAAACCCGATCTCCATGAAACCACCATGGCTAGACCCGATCTCCATGAAACCACCATGGCTAAACCCGATCTCCATGAAACCACCATGGCTAAACCCGATCTCCATGAAACCACCATGGCTAAACCCGATCTCCATGAAACCACCATGGCTAAACCCGATCTCCGTAAAACCACCATGGCTAAACCCGATCTCCATGAAACCACCATGGCTAAACCCGATCTCCATGAAACCACCATGGCTAAACCCGATCTCCATGAAACCACCATGGCTAAACCCGATCTCCATGAAACCACCATGGCTAAACCCGATCTCCATGAAACCACCATGGCTAAACCCGATCTCCGTGAAACCACCATGGCTAAACCCGATCTCCGTAAAACCACCATGGCTAAACCCGATCTCCGTAAAACCACCATGGCTAAACCCGATCTCCATGAAACCACCACGGCTAAACCCGATCTCCATGAAACCACCACGGCTAAACCCGATCTCCACACCCTGGAGGCCTCATCCAATCAGATCCACCACTCTGTGTTTTATTCATTTATGAACTTTATTAATTATAATAATTATTAATGGGTTCGGTGTTTAAGCTCATGGATGCAAATAAATTGTTTGGTTTAACAAAATCTGACTGCGACATGCAAAGAGAAAATGCAAAGCAGTTCTTTTTCTTTCCTTTCCTTAAATGATGTGAAGTCTGAATAATTTCCCACATACTGTTGGTATTTAAAAGCACTTTAGCTTTTCTTTCAACAGTTTCAGTGTTAAAGTTGTAACTGATGCAAAGGTGCGCCCTCATCGTACCGTTAACCTTTACATCCGTCTGCATCAGTTGGAACCCAGAGGTTCAGCAGATTAGGAGGAGAAACAGTCAGTTTGGAAACATCCACATTAAACATGTTTCTGGAAAATCTGAAACACGACCAAACTTCCACAGTTAAAATCCTGATGCTTGTAATTTGATGCGTTCAAGGCATCAAACCTGGGAAAACATGTTTCCGCCTGCAGACGCGGCGTGCCTGCAGTCATGACTTCTGATGCAGTAAAGCAGCTAACTTCATTACAGGATCGCATATTTATTTAACGTCTAGTCAGGTCGGGTTACAACAAGCTGGCTCTAGCTTCTACCACTTCTAATAAAAGTTTATATTTAAGCTGATTAAAACAAATGACCAACAACAGAAACGCAAACATTAGAACATTAGTTTAGTATCTTGTCAGGAGCTCAACCAATCAGCTGGAAGCTTCTTTATTACGTAACGCTGGAATTCACCAACATTAACTCTGCAGATTTTACGGATAGCTCCTTTTTATTTTGTGTTTTAATCTTTGTAGCCAAAATGTACGACTGTTGCCGTCAGAGTGGCGTCCATCTTTACAGGTCATCAGACGGATGCAGGTTTTCCTTCTCTGCCAGGATGACTGGTTTCCAGGTTTGCTGACATCCTGCAGGTCAGAAGCCAAAATAAATGATTATATCATCATTTATTTGCTAATAATGATAATAGTGAACATGATCACAGTAACTTGATTCACTCGACTCGTAACCCCCCCCCCGCCACATCAAAGAGGCGCCATCATGGGAGTGGCAGGGCCAGCATCTGCAGACTGACCAAGGCTAAGTGGACCTGATAGGTGAGTTCAGAACCAAATAGATTTAGTTTTAAGTGCTTCTTTCCTGAGAACATTTTTGTTCTCAGGAAAGAAGCACTTAAAACAAAATCAAGTAGAAAAATCACTGATAGTTACTTGATCAATAAATACCTTTAATTATTGATCTAAAAAGCTGTTTGGTCATAGCTTGAAGCTGCCATTGTTTACAGTAGCAACGAGTGGCAACATGAAAATATTCAATCACTTGCCAAGGAAGATGACATCATCGTTGGAGGAGATATGCAAGCAGACTTTCCAGGTGAGCATTTCTTCAACAGATGTTTCTAGATCGGATATCGGCTCCGATATCAACCGATTAACTGGACCAGAAATCGCAGATTCAATCATTCAGTGCGTTTACCAAAGAAGTTTTACTGCTGCTAATTTACATCCTTCTGTGAAGTAATTAAATTATAGCTTGATCTGTGTCCATCTGTTTCCTTTTCTTTACAGTTTTTAGTGAGAAGTTTAAAGCCTTAGCCCCCCACCCCTTTACCCCACCCCCACTCCCCACCCCAGGCTCCTGAATCCTGATCAACCTGAAAGTTTGGTGATGAGTTGCAAAAACATCAGGATAGCAACATTCAATGTGGCCACTAGAGGGGGCTATTCACCAGTTTATAACAGCTGGAGGTTTTTAATGAATCTTAAAGTTCTGATCAAAGTCTTCCATTAATAGAGAGATGGGGGGGGGGGGCGCTGATTCGGACTGTTGGACTTTCAGCAGAAATAAAAACTGTTTCTAAAATCTTATCAACACATTGGTCCAGAGGTGATAAATGCTGCAGCGTGACGCGGTGATCAGAGTCCACGTGCCGCCGCTGCGCTAATTACCTGCAGCAAAGGTGAGTCATGCCCGGAGGCCATCTGACCAATCAGCGCGCAGCACCGGCTCCAGGAAGCAGAGCTTCTCCACCTGCGGAGACAAACAGCTGCTTCACCTGAGAGGCTTTCTGAGCAGGAACCGCAGCGGGAGCAGCGATGGTATGCGGAGGATTCATTTGCACCAAAAACGCGCTTTCTGCGCTCAACGTGGTTTATGTGGTGAGTAAAACTGAACGAATGGCTGGAAAACCGGAACCTGGTTCTGTTGTGGGTCAGGGGTACCTGGTTCTGTTAAGGGTCACGGGTCCCTGGTTCTGTTGTGGGTCAGGGGTCCCTGGTTCTGTTAAGGGTCAGGGGTACCTGGTTCTGTTGTGGGTCAGGGGTACCTGGTTCTGTTGTGGGTCACGGGTCCCTGGTTCTGTTGTGGGTCATGGGTCCCTGGTTCTGTTAAGGGTCACGGGTCCCTGGTTCTGTTAAGGGTCACGGGTCACTGGTTCTGTTGTGGGTCACAGGTCCCTGGTTCTTTTAAGGGTCACGGGTCCCTGGTTCTTTTAAGGGTCACGGGTCCCTGGTTCTGTTAAGGGTCACGGGTCCCTGGTTCTGTTAATGGTCACGGGTCCCTGGTTCTGTTGTGGGTCAGGGGTCCCTGGTTCTGTTGTGGGTCAGGGGTCCCTGGTTCTGTTGTGGGTCACGGGTCCCTGGTTCTGTTGTGGTTCACAGGTCCCTGGCTCTGTTAAGGGTCACGGGTCCCTGGTTCTGTTGTGGGTCAGGGGTCCCTAGTTCTGTTGTGGGTCACGGGTCCCTGGTTGTCTTCAGGGTCACGGGTCCCTGGTTCTGTTCGGGGTCAAGGGTCCCTAGTTCTGTTGTGGGTCACGGGTCCCTGGTTGTCTTCAGGGTCACGGGTCCCTGGTTGTCTTCAGGGTCACGGGTCCCTGGTTCTGTTCGGGGTCATGGGTCCCTGGTTCTGTTAAGGGTCACGGGTCCCTGGTTCTGTTAAGGGTCACGGGTCACTGGTTCTGTTGTGGGTCACAGGTCCCTGGTTCTTTTAAGGGTCACGGGTCCCTGGTTCTTTTAAGGGTCACGGGTCCCTGGTTCTGTTAAGGGTCACGGGTCCCTGGTTCTGTTAATGGTCACGGGTCCCTGGTTCTGTTGTGGGTCAGGGGTCCCTGGTTCTGTTGTGGGTCAGGGGTCCCTGGTTCTGTTGTGGGTCACGGGTCCCTGGTTCTGTTGTGGTTCACAGGTCCCTGGCTCTGTTAAGGGTCACGGGTCCCTGGTTCTGTTGTGGGTCAGGGGTCCCTAGTTCTGTTGTGGGTCACGGGTCCCTGGTTGTCTTCAGGGTCACGGGTCCCTGGTTCTGTTCGGGGTCAAGGGTCCCTGGTTCTGTTAAGGGTCAGGGGTCCCTGGTTTTGTGGTGGGTCACGGGTCCCTTGTTCAGTTAAGGGAGAAGTTCGGTTTTTTACACTTTAAGCCCATTTTCTGTAGTGTCCAGGATGAAATCGAATGATCGACACCAAAATTTTGACAATTGGTCCTGTCTCTGCTTTTTGGCTCATTTAGAATCCCCCCCGGCTGCTTCAGAATGGCTAGCATAGAGCATGTCCGATAATGTCCTTAAAACAACCTTAAACGTTCTTTTTTTAAATATGCTACTCACCGGGTCGTCAGCGCTGTTCAATGACGTTCCAAAAAAAGTTTCGTAAAGAAAAACCGTTCCTGCAGTGTTTTATT